AATTGAAATTGAAAAGTGTGTCACAGTTAACTTTACATTAACGGTCATATTGTAATAATATGTAAAGTTATTGAGTCCATCAGCAGAGTGAAAATGGACTTCAGTACTACTAAGTAAGATGAAATAGGTTTTTGCACATCAATGTTTACTAATGTGTCCTTCCTACTGACACGTGATGATGTCACATGAAACACACACACTCGTGTTCACTCAGATTTCTGCTTTATTGATCGACATGCAGCATCAGGAGTGATGATCAAAGTCCGACATCAATAACTCTAAACACACGCTTCAGCTCCTCACGAGCAGCAGCATCCTCTCTGACGGCTTCAGTCACAAACCAAACAGGAATTGTCCGAATAAAAACTGCGTTACAGTTCCAGCTCGGCCCACCGCCACCCATGCACACGCAGGAAACATTCTCACCGTCAAAGTTAGGAACAAGAAGGCACCGCGACGACAAGGAGGGACCAAGCAGCCCAACTGTGGTTCTTAAATGCTAGGGTCAGAGGTCACGGTCTGTGATCCATGGTCAGAGGCAAGAGTGTTCTGGGGCAGGCTGAGGACAAAGGGCACCAGGTTGCCGCGGGACCCGGCGGGGGCTGGTAGGGCCTCGGGCAGGAAGCCGGGCCCCTCCTCGCCGACGTGGAACTGCAGCGTGCGGCTGCGGTTGACGCAGTAGATCCGGTCGCCGAGCACAGCGCAGCGGAATGGCAGTGCGTTCTGTAGCGGAATGGTGGCGGCCTCGAGCCACACCTTTACCACTGTGCTGTACCTGTGCACGCTGACCTCGGCACGTTCGCGGTCCACGTCAAAGCGGTAAATGAGGCCGCGGTGCGCGACCATGTCTGCGGAGCGGCGGTGGCTCTCGTTGAATGGGCACTCCTCCCACTCATCGCGGCGGGGGTCGTAGCGCAGCAGGCGGTAGAAGAGCGACCCCCCCGAAACAAACAGCTGGCCATCACACGCCGTGGCCTCGTGCGCCACCGCGAACGAGCCTTTGGGCAGTGGCGCCACATGGCTCCATCTGTCGGCGCGTGGGTCGTAGCGCTCCACACTCAGCAGGCAGCCCCCACCCACCGCGTACAGCAGCCCGTCCACACCCACCAGTCGCAGCTGGCAGCGCGGCTCGCTCAGCGGCCGCACGCCACTCCAGCGCCTGCTCAGCGGGTCGAAACACAGCACACTGTCCTGGGCCTGTCCCCCCCGCAGCCCACCCGCCACGAACAGGTAATTGAAGAGAGTGCACATTCCAGAGCCGGTGGGCGGGGCCTCTTCCGGGAGGCGGGTCAGCTCCTCCCAGCGCCGCGCACTCGGGTGCAGGAAGAGCATGCGCCGCGGGCTGCGCGCCTCCTCCCCGCTCTCCGCCACCGCCAGCACCCCCTCCCCCGCCTCTAGCCCCGCCCACTTCGTCCTCCTGCTCAGGATCAGTGCGCGCTCCGCGGCGCTCAGACGGCCGTACAGCGCGGGAGCACGCAGCACCTCCAGGTAGTGTGCGCTCATGTAGTTGTACACGCGCTCCTGCTCATCCTCTGCGCGGTCCCGCTTTGCTCTACTCAGAAGCTCGTGGCAGTCCTGCACGCTGATCCGCGTTCCCTCGGAGGCTGAGCCGGGCTCGCAGCGCGTGTTCAGGTCCTGGTTCTGGTCCATGGCGGCTCTGACGGTGACGTGTCTGCAGATCACACCCTCGGCTGCTGCCTTTGTACAAAGAGCTCCGTGCCCGCGCGCACCCCCTCCTCTCTGGACTCCGTTCACGCGACAATGTCTCTGGACACCGTGGGGAGGACCGGGTGGCACGCCCTGCAGCAGTCCCGTTATCAGCGCCGTGAGAACGCGCGGGGTTCACCTGTGTGAGAACGCCCTCAGATACATGCTGCTGCACGAGCCCGTCTCTGTGACGTCATCAGCGCTGTTTGAGAAGGGAAAAAAATGAGACCGAGCGAAAAAAAACCGAGCTGGTTCTTTTCTGTCCCCCACGTCTGAGCTTCAGTCTGATGCACCAAACACAAACATTCCCACCTGTCTGAGGGGATTCTTATAATAATAATCCGACACTTTAATCTCATCTGAGGAAACAAAACTGGCAAAATAAATTAAAAATAAAGAATAAATTCAGTTCATTTGAGGCTGTACATAGCTACAGATACCTTGCGGCACTCACGATGTGGGACGGAGAGACCCTGCAGGTCTAACTGCTGTCAGACTCCACAATAAAGACTTTACAGATGACCACACACATGCAGACAGACAGACAGACAGACAGACACACACACACACACACACACACACACACACACACACACACACACACACACATCTAATACACCTGATAGCCTTCGCCCAGTCTCCCTGATGTGCAATATTACAAAGTGCAATTTATCTGATGCAACATGAGCAATTCTCGGGTGAAACTATTACTGCTGGGCACAATGTGCAGTTTTTCTGGTGCATTTCTGATGCTGTTGTTATATTTTTACAGGTATCCTTATTAAATTTTTAGATTTTATGCTGTACATTCTTTGGACCATACATCTGAACATTTTATTTTACACTGCCAGGAACATTGTATTTGATTCTTTTTTATTTTATACAATTCTATTGTTTTTCTTAATTTTTGCTGCTCTTAACTTTGTACTGTCCACTTTCTGCCGTGACAACATGTGGGACTAATAAAGGTTTATCTTATCTTAAACAAAAGCTGAGCAGGTGGTGAAGCATCAGGTATGACGCTTTAGAGGTATGATGTCACCTGATAATGTCACACTTTCAGACCTGCAGGTCAAGGGTCAGGTGAGTTCAAACAGGCAGCATGAGTGATGAAGACATAAATCCTAATGATGGGGAATATCTGCGTGCAGACTGTTCTCCCTGTGATAACAGTCACACCTTGAGCAGCTGCTCAGGGTCTCCCCTCGCCTCCTGGTGCGGGCAGCTGACTTCACTGGATGACCTTCCTGTTCTCCGTCCATCAGATCCAGTGACAGGTGTGCCTGCACTTCAGGAGCTCACAGGTGGCTGTGTCGTATCTGATGTGAGCTCACCTCCAGTGGTGTGTCTAGAAACTTTTTGTTTGGGGGACCAGGTAGGGGCACAGATTTGGAGAAGGGTGGCAGATGTAATTGGCAGATAATGTTAAAAGAAATCTACCAAACCTTAACCATTATTCAATAACCCTATAGACCTAATAACTGAATCAGCTTTTAACTCTTATTAGAATGAGATTTTAACCACTATGGTGCAAAGTTTTTAGATACTGTGTTGATAAAGTACAAGAGATACAATCAGTGCTCTGTCAGTGTTTACTCAGCATTCAAGGACAGCAATATGTGCATAGTATTTTTCCTGACATATACTGCACATATGTTTTGGGCAAAAACATTTTTGAATATTAAAATACAAACGTTTTTAACATACAATTGGCAAATTAGCCAATGCAAAACTTTATCTGCCTATTAAAAAAAGAAGATAATCTTTTCACAAACTGTTGTTTGATTTTGAAACAGGAAAAAAGTGGGGAAAAAATGAAAAGACTAACATTTGAATGAAACCTGAAAGCAAGTAAATACTTTCTATGCTGCCTTATGGAAAACTTTGGTAATATTGATGTATGAAGAACAACACTGGCTGATGATGAAATACAGTCAGCTGGCATGGTAGCACTGCCAGTATTAACCTGCAGGGCTGGACTGGGACAAAAAATTGGGCATTTTCACTACAGACCGGCCCACCAGGTATTAAAGCCATAAAGCCTTTGAATGAAAACAAACGCTGTTGTGACAGTGATGTACACTTGTTGGTATATGTATGATTTCTATAAATTTTACGTCAGATAAAAACTTTGTTCGCAAGATTCAGATAATTATTTAATAAAAGCTAGATATTTTAAATGATAATAAGAATAAGAAAGAAAACTATTTCTTTGTGCCCCCTTCTCCCTGTTGATGCCCTACCTGATCCCCTGGCAAAACTTTGCTAGACCCGCCCCTGCACAGTTATCAGCTGTCAGCTACATAAAAAAGGATCCTGGTGTTATTTGTCTCTCAGAAACAGTTCATAACTTCCCTTCAACTCATTCATGTCACCTAAAAGGTAAACCTGTTTCTCCATCACCTGTTCAGCTCTGATGATTCAGTGAGGACGTCTCCTGGTTTCATCTTCATGTTTCCCTCTCACCAGATAACCAAACCGATATCATGACCAGCAGGTTTTACAGCTGTGGCTCCAGCAAACATCAGCTGATACTAGAAATTAATATTAAATAAATTCTAACAACAGCTGATCAAGCTTAACGTGCTGCTCTGGTTTCCTCTTTCTGGTGCAAAGTGGGCGATAAACAAACAAGAGAGACGATCAGCTGATCATTGATCAGTTTCATGATTGAAGTAGTAGGAGAGAGAGGGGGAGAGAATGAGAGAAGAAGAGTCAGCAGACAGCGTAACGACAGAATAAATCCAGCTTTGTGTGTTTTTCATTGTAGCTGAAGTCCGGGACAAACTGCGTCTCTTCTCAGCTCAATACGAAGCGCGTAATATTTTCTCTGAATGAGGGACGATTCCATTTTTTAAGGAGCCGTTGGCAACTCTACTAATTAACCTTATGAATAAAATAAAGTTCACCATCAGTAACATCATAGCACCCAGCTGTATAGAAACTCCGTCATGCTAGCTAGCACGCAGTACGAGTGATTGTAACTGACTGTAAAAAGTCAGCACAACGAAAATAAACTCCACCTAAACTTGGTTTATATCTGACCCAGATAGACTGCAGGTCATAACTTCTTACCTGAAGTTCAGTTCACCTGACACTCGGACTGGCGGCTGCCTCGGGTCTCTCCTCCTCCTGCCTCCCCTTCCCTCATCCACCTGCTGGCCTCTGTGGAAGCTCCGCCATAGCCACCACCAAACAACTGACTTATTTTTACACATCGGCCAGCATCTGGACAATCCACCACCTCTCATTGTTTATACTGATACAAAAAAAAAGGTATTCAGCCCACCGGGCCACCGGTATACCCGATGGCCAGTCCAGCTATGTTAACCTGTTAATCTTTCGCCGAAAAATTGTTTTCTGCGGTGCCATCTTTCGTGCTTGGCTCTCCTACCTTTGCTAACATGATGCTCATAGTGCAGAAGCCGATGCTGCATTCACTTACACTCGGATATCTGAGCTTCACTGTGAAAACATAATCGTACATTTGATAATTCTTGGAATTTTATTGTTTTAACTTCGGGGTGGCACCTGGGGTGGCCAGTCTGGTTGGGGGGGGTGGCCTGTGCCCCCCCAGGCCATCCCGCTGGACACGCCACTGCTCACCTCTAAAGTTTCTTTTCACACACAGACCTCAGATCAGCCGATCACGCTGTGTAACAGGATCTCTAACAGGAATCTTAGTGCAGACCGCCCCTCCCAGGTAGGGATGGGTATCGTTTAGGTTTTATCCGATGCCAAACCGGTACTTTTGAAATGCTTAAACGGTGCTCGAACCGGTGCTTAAAGAATGGAGAACACAAACTTTGTCCAAAAACCTCTCATGTTTAGCTGTTTTTTTGTAAAAAAAAAAATAACAAAGTTAGACTTTTCTGCAGCTGTAGGACATATATGGTATCACTCTTGGTTGGAAGCAGTGCAACCAAACAAGAAGACAGCCGCATGTAACTACGACGGTGTTTGCTAGTTTACCTTACATGCATTAATGTAATAACGTGGTTAGCATACTCAACGTAAATTACACACGAACAACATTAAGCTACTCACGCAGAGAAGAACGGCTGC